TGAGGCATACATCAAATTATACTTTATCCAAAAAAAAATTATTTGTATTATCTTAATTGTAGTAGTAATTGTCATTAAGTAAAATTGAACAAATCTTGACTTGAATTACAAACACTCATACATATCGAAGTAATTAATTTGTTACAAAGGTGAAAACAATTCAAGACAACCTTGATTCGCAACTCACGCTAACTCATATTCGAGCTTATTGCTCAACTTGTTGAACTAAGCTACAAAATTCTTGTTATTAGACTTGATTTGAGTTTTAACCGAGTTTGCTAAGTGAGTTCAAATACTTCAAAATTGGATCAAGCTAAGAGCACTAATCCATAAAGTATTATTTCAAGATAATAAGCCTAACCTAATTACGATATACGGAGTATTTACGAAAAATAATCATAATTATTTTGTCTTTCTTACTAAAAAAAACACATATGTAGTAAAGATGGATGTAGGTCATGATTCGTGCCAAGTCCACATGCTTTAGGGTTAGATAAGTCTAGCCTTTGCTCGGCCGACGAGTTGCGTGTTGTGCTATTCCAAAATTTTCAAAAGGTCAACCTATGCACTGGCCCTGTCCACGTGCCATTGCTTGTTCAGGGTCGAGTCATGTCGCGCGTGTTTGCGTGCCTAAGCCAAATTTCATTGACTTAATGTGTTTTGTCGTACATTATTGTGCTTTTTTCATATAAAGGATAGACCGAACGTAGAAGGTAATTAACGTGTTGTGTCATGCCTACATCGTATCCGTATTATTTCGTGCTTTTCTCGTGCTTGGACCGGCTCAGCCCTATGTCATCTCTCAATTATGCATAGTATTTTCATGATGATTTTACCAATCTAAGAGTGCAGTAATTGGTAATAAGAAAACCTTGGAGAGAGAGAGAGAGAGGGACAAGGGGACAAGAAGGCTGATAAATTCATGTGGCCTTTCCTTAATGAGAACTCTCTAACATTCCCTTGTCTTGGTTTTAAAAGTAGTGTTGTAGCATCACTATAGTATTATAAAGGCGTAGGGGCTCCCTTTCCCTTATATGGTGCTACGGATAATCATTGGATTCGGTTCATACTACCAGTCACCCATGTGATTTGTGATCATCTCTACTCTGATTTCATGCTTAGCTTCTTTATGCACATTACGTACACATTAGCAGTATAGATTATAATTCAACTTTTTTTTTTTGACAGTGAGAATAAAGAAAGTAAACAAACAACAAATTAAAAAGACCAAAAAAGAAACTCCCAAGCACAGGCCTTCCCAACCAACCAATGCGCAGGAGACACCCATTTCCTAGGAACCTTCAAAATCCTGCAAGCCTCAACAGTAGACAGAAGTGTCCGGATATCCCGAAGTAACCAGCATAATGAGACATCATCCCGCTGCTTTTGGGCCAAAATCAAACACAGAGGCTCACAATCCGACTAAATAAGGATCCTACGAAAACCTCTAGAATAAGCATTCCGTAATCCCAAAAACAAGCCTGTAACTCGAAATGCATAGCTGATGATGAAAGAGAAGCACGAATGCCTCCCCCATGTACTGAAGGCAAATCACAATCACGAAAAATCCAACCAGCTCCAGCCGTATTGTTCGAAGAAGATCATGACCCATCACAAATCATACAAATATCAAAAACAGAAATAGCCTCCCTCCCCCCCCCCCCCCCCCCCCCCCCCCCCCCCACAAAGAGTGGCAATGAAACTCGAACCAGACGGCCTCGGATGAAAACCCAAAGAGGAGAGACGAAGGCGAAAATCCTGTAACTCGGAATGCATAGCTGATAATTCAACTTTTGGTAAAAAAAAATGTGGCTTGTGAATAGGTTAATTATTACTCCTACCTCTCTAACACTCCTGATGAGAGGTCACATAATTTATGTTAATTGGCCGCAATATTCATAGATTATCGATCGTACGTTTTTTCTAAGTAAGGACTTGCTAATTGGACTGTTGGAGTATTTTAAATCAGATAATTACTCAGTATATCTCTAGGGTTGACAACTCTCACGAGATAAAACGAGGTGAAACCAAATCACTATGATAATAGGGGAATAACTTTTGTTAACAATCCTTCAAATCCTGGCTTCATCAACAAAGAAACTATGTGCACTCTAATTCATAAATAGAATAACATTTAGCAACAGTGTATGTTTATGATTTTAATTTCTCTTTTTTATCCATCGAAAGTTAATATTTATCTCATTATTGGGGAAACACCTTAAAATCAATCCACTTTTATGTTTTCAAACTCCCATATTGGTGAGCACCAAAAAAAAAAACCATATTGGTTGATTACCAGACTTAATGTCCAATATATCATACATCATTTTTTTTTTAAGTATGAAGTGCATATATATGTGGAATATTAGATAATATTTTCTTATCCTAAGACGGTTGTCAACCCTAAAATTTACTCATTACTACCTAAACAATATTTGCATGAATAGACATGTCAAATTTTATGTGCCAATAATTAGCAACGTGGTAATAATATGTACCATGTAGCTAGTCTCAACTTTCAAGTCATATAAATGGTCATGATTCTAATCTTTGTATCACTGGATGAAGATTATGCCTTTCTTGTTAGGGTAAAAGGTATAATAAAAGCTTGTAGGATGGTGGAATGTGTCGGAAGCAAATTTTAGATGTCCTTGTTATCCTAAAAATGTGTGTAATTATTATTGGTCTCTAATAATAGAACAAGTTAAAAGAAACAAGCTTGGTTATAGTGAGTGGTACTCTACATACTGGGGAAGAGTAAGGGGCAAAACCAGTTTAAATCTTCTTATGAAATTGGATTATTTTTTTTTTGTATTAAAGCTAGTTTTAAAATAATTTTTATTTGGGATCTTATTCTTATAATAATAATTCCAAGGGTTTTGATGTTAACAAGGAAGAGAAAAAGGAGCAAAATGAGTGTCTTACACAACCATGATCCAATTCAAATTGACTTAACTCATACAAGCCGATTATCACCTCTACATATATTATAGTAAGCCGGTACACATACAAAAAAAAAATGTTGGTTTTGGTTTTTGATTTGGATTTGAGTTTGTCTCAATGTCAATCCAATCTAAAATAAAATTCGATTAATAGATGTCAAGTCTAATACAATTTTAATTTTGCCACACTTCCATTTTGGTCTGAAGTAATCAATTCATCTCTTAATTTTCAATTTTTTTTTTACATAGTATTCTATCGATCAGCTCACAAGCTTTAAATAAAATTAAGAATTAACTTAATGATCTTAAGAGTCATAAATGTGGGGGCCTAAATATACTTCATATAACTTCAATATGTTACAACTTTGAATAATTTTTAAATATCCCTATACTTTAGAATGTTTTTTTTTTTTGGATCCATACACCCTCGATTTGATTTTTAAAATTTCAATATTACTAAATTAGTTTGGATTTAATTATACTTTATATGTAATCTGAATAACTTTGCTATATATATATATATATATATATATATATATATATATATATGAGTTGTATCCTATTAACTTGGCATGTTCAATGCATAACAATAACCATTAAGACTTTAATTATATATTAGCAAATTTTTTAAGAAGTTGATATTATGCTTTATATGTTGAGATTACTTTAACACAAAATGTTATGTCTTTGTTTATAATCAATTAAAGAATGTCGATGTGAATAATTTGAAAAATAAAGATGGTCGTGGACCATGTCAAGCCGAGCTATACAGAGCCCACACACCTTAGGCCAAGATAGGCTGGGTCCACCTAATATTGCACCATGCCAAAAATTTCAACAAGGCGATCGATACAGGGCTCAAGCCCAAGCGCCACTGTGCTATGCCATGCATGCGTGTTCAAGTCATATTTAATTTATCTTTGCATGTATTGTCAAGGGACTTTATTGTGCCTTGTTGACAAAAAAAAAAAAGTGGCTCAGTCCTAACTAGACCTGGCAATCCCGATCCAGACCCGATGACCCGTCCCGACCTATGACCCGAAAATGACCCAAATACAACGACCCAAAAATGACCCGAAACCCGAAATTGACCCGACCCGACCCATACCCGACCCGAAAATAGAGTTGATACGATCCTGGCCCAACACCCGAATTGACTAGACCCGAAGTTGACCCGACCCAAAATTGACCCGAACAAACCAGATACTCAAAATTGACCCGAACAAATCCAATACTCGAAATGTCCCGAACTAAAATTACCTTATAATTGAACTAAAAATGTCTAGTGCCAAAAATAATTTAAATTGTTCATGTTCAACTGTAGCCACACTCATAAACCGAATTGATAGTTCTTATTATAACAATAATGAAATATAAAATTATTGATTTGAACTAGATCCACAAATTAAATGGAACAACCCGAACATGACCCGACTCGAATATGACCCGAACATACTTGACCCAAAAATGACCCAACCCAAAATTGACCCGACCCGATACTTGACCCGAGCCATACCTGAAACCCGAAATAACCTGACCCGACCCGAAATTGACCCGAACCGTATCCGACCCGAACGACCCATTTGCCAGGTCTAGTCCTAACCCATAACCAAGCATGCAAAGTAGCATCCTTGTGACGTTTTGTGTGCCTATGCAGTTTGTTTCGTTTTGGGTCGTGCTGTACCACAAATCGACTCAACTTAGTACCATACTAAGGGTCGTTTGGTTGGATCATTTGAAATGGATTGAAATGGAGTTAGAATCCATTCCATCAACTTTTTTGTTTGGTTGAGTTTTTTGTAATGGAATATCATACCAAAGGGGTTCTAACTCCTCCCCCATACCTATGGAATCCCATACCCACCTCTCCCTCTAAGATTCACAATCCATTATATTAATGAAGTATAAAATCCATTCCAACAATAAAACCAAACAATTTTGGATTAGTATGGGTTTTAAAATCCATACTTTTCTAGTATGAGATTCCATACCAATCCATTCCAATTTGATAAACCAAACACCCCTTAATTGAATATTGCCCAAAGTTAATACTTGTCCTTCCCCTATAAGACTATGATGCAATATTTGTGGGATGGAGAAAGTACATTACGGAATACTGTATTTTTTTTTTTTTTTTTTTTGAAGCAACGGAATACTGTATTTTGTATAAGAGTATTATGCCTATAAAAATGGATAAAATATTATCCTAAAAAAAGCATAGAAAAGAAATCCATTTTAAGCACACGCGCCACATACATAGGAGTGAGAGAAGTAGTGCCAGCCAAGCCATAAGTCCGTTCTCTGTTAAAATTTGAATTTTTTTCAAAAACAAAAAAAAACAAAAACTAATCTCCACTTTTTAATTCAAATAAATCACACAAAACTAAAACTGTTATTCCGTAATCCGTATTCTTTTGTTATCTGGTGCCAAATTTTCTTTCCTTTTTCTCTCAATATTAAGATTAGGTTTTCAAAATTACGTACAATAAACAAAAATTCAACAGCTTTTCAAATTTACACACAAAATTTCCTTCTCCTTATTACTCATTTCTTACAAATTTTCCCAACTTTTCTCTCTCCTAATTTCTCCCATTTTTAGCAAATTTTTTTTACTTGGCAAAAACCCCCAATCTCACCTGAAAAACACAAAAATTCAAGAAAACCCATCAAAATTAATCAAATTCCCATCTGGGAAATTCCAATGTGGTCGATTTAATCACAATTTCATCATTTATACACCCTTTTTGAATCTTCAAATTTGTGAAAAATTTCCAAAAAAATTGGGAAAAAATGCTGTCAACATCGCCAACAATGATGCGGAGCTCATTGGAGGAGATGTTAGAGAATCTCCGGCGAAAAGACGACGAACTATCGAAGGATATTCCACCGGCGTTACCTTCTCGGCCGACGTCTCGAGCTCGATTGCCGTCGTCGAGGCAGCGGTCTTTGCCGGTGGGGTTTAAGATTTCCGGCGGCGGCGGTGGAGGTGGGGAGGAGGTTAAGAGGAAGAGTGATGACGTGGAGGAGAGAGAAAAGGTGGTGGTGGTGGGGGAAGTGGGTCCTTTGATTAGGAAGAGGAATAGTTTTGGGAGTAGTAAGAAGAAGATTAAATCGGATCAGTCGCCGTATGAAGCGGCGGAGATGGAGGAGAGAGAAAGTCGTGGAGGTAGCAATGGCGATGGTGGTGGTAATGGTGAGGGAGTCACGTCTACTTCTAAGGGTGTGATTGAGTGGGAAGATAATGTTGATTATTTTATTAAAAAGGTGATTAATCTCTTCTTATTATTGATTTATGTTGGTGTAGTTCGATTCGATTCGATCCCATGGTCGTGGATACCATCGTCGAAACTTTAACTAACTAAGCTAGTTGTCGTCCACTCTTCTTCTTATTGATCAAGTGACTGATTTATTTATTTTATTTGTTTTTTTAATGTGATGAAATTTCAAATATTTTCTTATTTGGGGTTAATTTTATTTATTTTTTGTTTTGACTGCAATGTGAAATTAATTTTTGGAGAATGTAGAAACTGGGGTCTTACTCTTACATGGATGGTCCATTTATATTTTGGTTATGAATTATTTAATTGATGATATTACTGTTCATGAAGTTTGACCTGATCATAAGCTCAAGATTGTATTGTTTTTACTTAAATTGGGATTTGGGGAAAAGTTTGTGTATTGGGATTCTAGAACCTTAGCTTATATTTTACGGCAGACTGATGCGCGAATTTCTACAGAATTTTGTGAATTGGATTGAAGTGCCACTTTCAGTGCATTGGCTGCTGAACAACTTGATTATAAAAGACAGGGGTTTGTTTAGTAGGATGTGAAGAGAATTCTGGGATTGCTATCCCTTTTGTTGGGATTAGTGATGAGTTGGGAAGTTTGGGACTTTTATCTTTGTTATGGTTGGTGATGTAGACTGTTTGTTTATTGGTGTTAAATCATCATGCTATTGTCACATATGAACACTGTACACTAAGGTTGTTAGAAGACGACCCAAGGGATGAATTGGATTTTTATTCCTGCTGGAGTTTCAGCTCAAATGTGGGAAAATTTCCCCGACTTGGAATTTTGATCAAATATCAATTGTTGGATTAATTTCTAGCTAGGGCAAAGGGATATAGGATATTGAACTTCAGGACGAGAACTGGAGCTTTGAAGTTTGCATGCATCAACTGAGTTAGAGATCATACTGTGACCATTTCAGCTTATTCTTTACTGCAAGTTGTTAATTTTTGAGGGGAAGGGTTTTATCTTCTAAAATTCTGAAAAAGTTAAGCCTTTTTGTCCTCTGTTTTTATGCGCTTTACCTGATTTTGATCGAGGGGCTGAGGTGCTGTTTTGTGTTTGAGCTTTGGTTTGTACAGTGTATATTTGCATGAGCTTCTGATAAAGCGTAATGGCGAGATTTTCTGTTGAATTCTTAATTATTTCTACAAAGTGCTACTATAAGTCTATAATGTACTCAATAAACTTATGACCGCCCTTAAAAATCTTTGTAATGTCATATAATGTAGCATTTCTCCTTGATTTTTGCTATTTGCGATCTTCGTCTGGTTGAACATAGCTAAGTATTCTGCTTGGTATTGAAGATCCCTTGCTACTGCCTTCGTATTTTAGTGGAATCTGGAGTTCTGGACAGACTGGTTTCCTTGACTGTTTCTTATCTAATAACCTAATTTTTCTCCTTGATAAGTTTTGCACTGGGTGTATGTGGACTGTGGAGTTACTCCATAAACAAGTTCAGTATATCGTCATTTCCTCCTATGTGCTATTTCCTTTAAGTTACCCTTTCGTATGCTGGTACTGAACAATAAGAACCCAAACACAGCCATGCCGCCCTTGCGCAGAAAGGCAACCCATCCCTATTACCTATTTAGTAAATACAATGCAGGCCATTCATGAAGCAGACACATGCCATGCAGCCATCTCAATTCTCAACAACAGTCTCCAAATCAAAGTGAATCTGTTGGTGTAAGAACATATATTAGTATAAGTGAAATGAGAAAATGTAGAATTCAGAGACCTTTATTTATGGGACAATCTGTTTTGAGGCATAATCACCTGGAACTGGGTCTTGGAGTGAACTTTAGGTATAATACTGTTCTGTCAAGAAATAGCTTTATTTCTTAAAACTATCAAGACACATTTCAGGATTTGAGAGACACACCAGGTCCACGCTTGTCAGATGCTGGATTGCTTAATGCTTGGCTAGTTTGCTGTGATGCCTCTTATATCATGCAGATTTTCCTTTCCCCCCACCTTTTTCTGATTCTTTTGTAGAGACATTTAATGTCATTTTTTATTATTTTTTTTATATATATTTTAAATTTTTTTATTTAATTTATTATTATTATTATTATTATTATTATTATTTTTCTGTTTCAGAAACTTCGTGTTTGGTGTCGGCTTCCTTCTGGACAGTGGGAATTGGGATGGATAGAGTCAACCTCAGGCGAGGAATCTTGTTTACAGCTTGTATCTGGAAATGTAAGTTTTTTTTTTTTTTTTTCTCCCCCTGACTTATGGCCTTTTGAGAAATGTTTTAGTTTGGACTTTAAACACTGATGAATTTTAAATGCTATAGGTCATCAAAGTGTTGAAAACAGACCTCCTACCTGCGAATCCAGATATTCTTGATGGTGTGGATGACTTAATACAACTTAGCTATTTGAATGAGCCTGCTGTTCTTAGCAATCTGCAGTACAGATATTCACGTGATCTGATCTATGTGTGTGCTTACCTTTGCTCCCTAAATATGGGTTCACTTCTTTCTTTTTTAGTTCTTATAAGATCTCGCCTAACTTGTCTAAATATTGTACATTTTATGTGGGGGCCTGGCTCTACAGAGTAAAGCGGGGCCAGTTTTGATTGCAATCAATCCATTCAAGCCTGTGCAAATTTATGGGACCAACTATATAACAGCTTATAGACAGAAGAAGCTTGCTGACAGTCCTCATGTATTTGCAATGGCAGATGCAGCTTATGATGAGATGATGAGAGGTCTGGTACTATCACTTACTATGTGGTGTAAGTTTGAGCTTTTAGTTGCAGTCATATTTGTATTCATCATGTTTCCTTTTCTTGCAGATGGTGTAAACCAATCCATTATAATAAGGTGAGTTCAATATTTCTATTTTACAGTCTTGTAAGAAGTTTATTTATTTATTGCTACATTTTTGTTCCATTATCACATTCTGTGCTCTAAGAGCTTAAGACTTTAAATCTATCCAGGAGTTTTGGTTTATCTACACTTTCCCTTTACTTTAGCTATGGGAAAAGTATAGTTTGATTGTAATTGTATATCATTTGTATTAACCAGATGTATCATTTTCACCCTACAGCGGAGAGAGTGGTGCTGGGAAAACTGAAACAGCAAAAATTGCAATGCAGTATTTGGCTACTCTTGGTGGTGGTGGAGATGGAATTGAACGTGAAGTTCTTCATACAAGCTGTATATTAGAAGCATTTGGAAATGCAAAAACATCTAGGAATGACAACTCTAGCAGATTTGTATATATTCTTTCTTCTCATTGTCGGTTTATTTACTTTTTTCTCTGCTTGCCTCTGTAGTGTCTTTCCATTAATGCCTGATTTTTGCGCTACTCAACAGTCAACACTATTGTGATATAAACTGTATCTGTTCTGAATTCAGGGCAAGTTGATTGAGATTCATTTCAGTGTGACGGGAAAGATATGTGGTGCCCTCATTCAAACTTGTGAGCTACTCTTCCATTTTTCATTCCAGAATTAATCTGTATATTATAAGTATCGACTGACTTGTCATTGTTGCCTGTGGTTCATGCTAAATTTGCCTGTGGACAGTCCTCCTTGAAAAGGTAAGATAGCTCAGCTGATGCATGTTTGGGCTTTGTATCAATTGTATGTATCATCTGTAGTCCTTCCCTTACTTCTGATATTGCTTTTGCAGTCAAGAGTAGTTCAGCTGGCTAGAGGAGAACGATCATACCACGTCTTTTATCAGCTTTGCGCTGGCGCCCCATCTGATCTAAGAGGTTAAATTTAATTCATCGTTAGTTTTTTGACCCAGCAATACGATAGAAACCTGTTTTTATTTTTTACAGTAGTTGTGCACTGTGATCTATCAGAAAGTAAGGTGCAAAAAGAAAAAAGTATTTGTTTGTATAATATTTATGCCACGGAAAGGCTGTCCACATCATTCTAACTGTTAATCTGCTGTCACCATCACTTGAATGCTGCTGCAGGTAGATTGAACCTGAAAATGGCCAATGACTACAACTATCTCAATCAGAGTAATTGCTTGGTGATTGATGATGTTGATGATGCACTGAACTTCTATAAGCTTCAGGTGATGAAATTTATCTAGATGATAAATGTTGTACAACGTATACTGCAGTCAATTTTGTTCCAAACATCTTAATTTTATTTTTCTTCTTTGATCACATCAGGAAGCTCTAGATATTGTTCGAATCAATACTGAAGATCAGGAGAGAATGTTTGCAGTGCTCACTGCAATTCTATGGCTCGGGAACATATCGTTTCAAGTTATTGACTATGAAAATCACATAGAAGTGATGGCGGGTGAAGGTATAAGTTCTTGATTCAGTGTAGTAAAGTTTGTTTTGCTTGCTCCTTGCTTTGCTAATTTAAGTGTCCTGTTAATACTTGGTGGTGTTTGCTACCTGTTAGATTTTCAAGGAACTGTATTGAGGAATTATAATCTAACATTGAACATCACTGTTGCATATACTACCTTTTGGCAATGTCATTTAATCAGACTCTCCAATTTACATTAAATACCTTTTAGCAATTTTTTTTTTCTTATTTTTTGTTTGCAGCCTCAAATTGCTGTTCTTGCTACGTAAGTACATATTTTCCCTTTTTTTTTTTTGAAAAATAATATAAAAAAATACCAGCTTCTCGTGTGGCAGCTACTTCTTGTGTTCATCCCTACCTTTTAAAAAGTTTGAAATGACTCTTATGAATAGTGTTTGGACAATCATTCCCTCTAAAATGTTTATTTACTTATTTGCCTTCATTCACGGATATTTATACTTATAAAAATATTTGTTTACATATTTTCCCTCGTTAACGCTGCTGACAACCAAATTTGTGACATAAGGCCAAACCATAAGAGCTCCCGGACATGGCTAGCTATGACGCGCGTGAGTCACCTCGGTTTAGGGTAAAAAATTAAAATAAAATAAAATAATGGCCGCGTTTTTTAGCTTATTGAAAGTCAGATAGATGACTCGGTGATGTAATAGAATAGGGATATTAATTTTTAAGTTATCTAAAAAAGCAGGTCAGAGTTTGCTTCCACGGATTATAATAAATCCCCCTTGTCCTTCCACATATAATGTTAATAATGTTGACAGTTTAACTGATACTATTGTTGGGGTTGATTGTTTGGCAGCTCTGACTGCTGCTGCCAGGTTGATGGGCTGCACTGAGCAGGACTTGATGTTGGTTCTATCAACTCGTAAAATACAAGCTGGCAAGGATAATATTGCAAAAAGATTAACTTTACAGCAGGTATGGGGGCTTATATAGATACTTCATTAATGGGCAGCATACACAGTCTGTTTCATGCAATGTGACTTGTTTAATATCACGGTTTTTCAGGCAACAGACACCAGAGATGCTTTAGCAAAATTTGTCTATGCTAGATTGTTTGATTGGCTTTTGGATCAATTAAATAAATCTCTAGAAGTGGGCAATATGCGGACTGGATGGTCCATAAACATCCTGGATATCTATGGTTTTGAGTCATTTCAGGTTGGCAGTTTAAAGCTGCATCGCTAAGTTGTCAAATGTCACTTGATTCTTTCTTCTTCTCTTATAGTTGCATTTTTCTTTCAGAAAAATAGCTTTGAGCAATTCTGCATAAATTATGCGAATGAGAGGTTGCAACAACATTTCAACCGTCATCTTTTCAAACTGGAACAAGAGGTAGGCTTTGATCTATTTCGGTACAAAACTATTTGTACTAGATTTATAATGTTGTGAAAGCAAAAGCTAAAAGAATTTATGAGACTGCAAAAGTACCTGCTCCTCATGTCTATCAAATCTTTCCTTACATCAAATGGTCTTGACCTGTAATAGTGGGCCTTTTGTAAATAATGCTAAGTCTTTATTGGTTGCGATTAGGTTGCCTTTGTTAGAGCACGAGTCTCTCAACACTAAAAGCTTCAGTTGTGTATATTTGAGTCTCCAACAGCTTTTCTCAAATATGATAATGAGAAAAATGTACTTTGTCATTTTTACGGATAAATATTGCTAACAGTCAGCTAGGCTGCACCCATGAAAGAAGATAGTAAAAACACTTGTAAGATTAACTGAGGTTCTATCCCTAAAATCAATTGACAATGAGAAATCTCTTTCTAGACTTGATGTTGGTTGCCTTCTCACCTTTTTATGTGGGGCAAATGGACAATTCATGTGTGCACTCATTTGTGAGATCTCATCACGCTCTCTATTGTAACATTATCAACTCAACGCTGTAAGCCAACTAGAGGCTTGATATAGACACTTGTGCTTATGCAATGACAGGGTGCTTTCTATGCTGGAAAGTTTTTATTTTTTATTTTTTTTTAGGACATGGTTAATGAGAATGTGCTGTAAGCAACCGAATTTTATTATTATGTACTTTATTCATGATATGTATAATGTCATTTTAAATAGGCTACTGGCTAGCGTCTGGATTCTGGACTCTTGTGTAAATTTTTTAATGTAGTTATCTTGCATGCTTATCAGAAATATTGTAATCTGTTTCTGACTTGCTGCTATGGTACCTTAGGATTATGAAGCTAATGGAATTGACTGGACTAAAGTTGACTTTGAGGACAACCAAGAGTGTTTGAACCTCTTTGAGAAGGTACTTCTGTTTACTGTAAATAGTGTGGATACTTTTAAAAAAGCCAGGCAATTTTCTTGTTTTGAGAATGAGCTTCAATTAAGATGTTGTCTGCCATGTAGAAACCTTTGGGGCTTTTGTCTTTATTGGATGAGGAATCAAATTTTCCCAAGGCTACAGATCTGTCTTTTGCCAACAAGCTTGAGGAACACTTAAACTCTAATTTCTGTTTTAAAGGAGGTAGAGACGGGTCATTTAGTATCCGCCATTATGCAGGACAGGTAGGCTTGTTGTTGGAAATCTGTCTCTTATTTTAATATATTCCATTTAGAATGATTTTTTGCATGATATGCTTTACCCCTTTACCTCTAGCTATTGGATTAATTATAAAGCATGTTGTACTAATAAATATGGTGTTACATACATTGTTAATTTTTACCCCTGTGGTGGATTTTGCGGGGCTGTAATCCCTGGTCAAGCCCTTCTCTTTCTTTTTGTTTAATGACCTGTCCAAACTATTGTTTTATGGCGGATGTTGTTTCTGAGCATGAAATTATAGTTGCCTGATGACTAGATTACCTATGGGATGTTGACCACATGTAATATCTATGTGATTCTTTCCATGCTTCAAATTTGAAAATCATTCTCTTTTTTTTATTTTATTTTTTCTGTGTGGAAGGTAGTATCTTGATAATTTCGGCAATCTTATTTTTTTGTTCCATCTCCATAATTAACTCACAATGAGATATTTGATAATGAGCTTGTTAATTTTTGGTGATTTTGATTTTTACTTGTATGAATGAACAGTTTTTTTTCAACTAATATTTTAATGTCTAGGTGCTCTAATTATCATCAATTCCTGAATGAAATCATCTGTGATTATGTGATTCATATTCTTTCAATTTCATGGTGATTCTTAAATCATTTAATCTTGCTTCTGTGATTCCTCAGGTTCATTATGACACTTGTGGCTTTTTGGAAAAGAACAGGGATCCATTGCACTCAGACTCTCTCCGCCTACTCCTGTCATGTAATTCTGCACTGATTCAGCAATTAGCTTCCGGCATGGTTGATCAATCTCAGAGTTCTAATGGCCCCAATTTCCAATCTGCTCTGGACACCCAGAAACGAAGTGTTGCAACAAAGTTTAAGGTCTGCTGTGCTCACTTAATCCTGCTCCTAATCTATATCTCCCTATCTTTAATAAGACTAGAAGTACATCTTGTCTTTCTATTCCTGTCTGTTTATATGGTGGCATTGTCTATGTGAAAGATAGTGACTTAACTGTTCAATGGTCCGTCTGTATCCATTACAAACTTTTTTAGGGTAAGTGCCTTGAGATCTTCTGGAATTGTAGGTTTTTCAGGAGGTGCTATAGAAGTATATATTTTATTGATCAAGTGATTGGACTATTGATTTCGCTCATGGCAATATAGCTCATTTATCTTTCCTTTCTTCTCACCATTATTGTGTAGCATTTCTTTTGCTTAAAGAGAAGCATAGCTGTTTCAAATTTGATTTCAAAAAAGGAATTTGCTCCGTAGTTCTTAGATTCCACTCTCTGCTTGCAGAATCAGCTTTACAAACTGATGCAACAGCTTGAAACTACTACTCCTCACTTCATTCGCTGCATAAAACCAAACAGTAAGCAGCTTCCTGGTGTTTATGAGAAGGATCTTGTCTTGCAACAGCTAAGATGCTGTGGAATTTTGGAAGTTGTGAGAATCGCTAGGTGTGGTTATCCTAGTCGAATAACTCATGAAGATTTTTCTCAAAGGTATTTGATTGAGGTCTTTGAATTGATTAGACATCAGCGAGTGAATTTTCAAATAGGTTCTTATGCATTCCTTGGTAATGTCCAGGTTTGGCTTCCTGATATCTGATAAGAGCGTATCTCAGGATCCCTTGAGTATATCAGTTGCTATTCTGCAGCAATTCAACATTCTTCCTGAACTTTACCAAGTTGGCTATACAAAATTATACTTTCGAACTGGGCAGGTAAGGACCACCATTAATTCTTTCCCTTTTTTTATGCCTTCTGCATGCGTCCAACACCCCCTCCCCCCCTCCTTTTTTTTCCTACCCAGGCTAAAGGCAAAGTTTACTTGCATGATCAGATGTTATGGGATGGGGGCAGTAGCATTTTCCTAGAAATTACATTGTAATTTGTTTTGGACATGTTTAAATTGACTAGGTCTGGAAGTGAATATTTCTGGTGGATGTGTAATGCCATTGAGAAGTGTACTTGTTAAATTGACGGATCCTTATTATTTGCTTATACTCTGAAGTTATATCTCTATTATTTTCTTCTCTGGGCTCCTCTTCTTCCACCTTTTCCTTTGTGCAAAGGTGGGGTACATTGCAGTCTATATAAGTTGGGCAGATCTAGAGAGTGGAAAGGAGTAATTAAAATAGGTAAATATTCATCAGAAGATAACCACTTCTCTTTTTGGTTAATGTGATTAGTTCACGGTCTCCTGTATATTTCTTCTCTGCCTTGTCAACTTCTTTTTGTGTGGTTCATCTGTTCCTAGCTGTTGAAGTGTCCAATTGCAAGAGTAAGGGCTGAATAGCAATTTCAAAACTTTATTTTTCTCGTATGCACACGTGTTTTGCAGAATATTTACCAAGTTGGGATAGGAATTTGTAAAGTTGGTTATAGTGCTCTTGTGGAATATATGAATTTAGAGTGTGAAGATAAGAGAGTGGAGAATAAAGGGAGGAGGGAAAGAGAAGGTGGGATGGGGAAAAAGATATGTGGAGTTCTAAGAGTATTTTTGTGATCACAACAACAATAACCGTCATCACATGGAGATTCATATTGAATCATTCTTTTTTTTTCATTTTAACTAAGAAAGGTTGAAACACTCAAGCCATTTAGAGAAAAATATACTACCTCTGTTAAGTTGCCATTTTTGGATGCTTTATATTAGTTGCAACTTTCCATTTAATTCTTTTTTTGGTAATCTTTTTTAATGATATTACAAAAATACCCTTACTAATAATGTTATAAACAGAATTAGATAACTTAATCACAACTCATTAAATTAATAATTTAACTTAATTACCATAATTATTCTCACCCAATTTAATTAACCAACACTAATTCAATCAGAAAATAAACTTAATTCAACAAATCATTCATCATCAATTCATCTTCCAAACATTCATCCGAAACACCACCTTCAATATCGCTGCCGCCATCTCTAATCACCACCTATGACCACCACCATCATCGTCACCGCAGCAAGCCATCGCCGCATCCTCTTTCTCTCGCTCTCTTTCTCTCTTTACAAAAAAAGTTTAGATCTGATGGTTTGAGGGGCTGGTGGTTTAGTTTCTGGTGGTTTTGGGTTGGGGGTCGTGGGTAGGTTTGGGTTTCGTGGGCGGATCTGGGTTGGGTATCTTGGTAGACTGGGAGTGGGGTTTCGTGGGTGGGTTCGAGTTTTCGGCAGGTTTGGGTTCGGCGATGGTGACCTTTGATTTGGGTTTAAGCGATGGTGGGTTTGGGTTTAGGGGTTGTCGGCGATGGTGGGTTTGGGTTTAGGGGTTGTCGGCGATGGTGGGTTTGGGTTTAGTGGTTGTCGGCGATGGTGGGTTTGAGTTTAGTGTTTGTCGCCGATGGTGGGTTTGGGTTTGTGAGGGTGTGGGTCTGGGTTTAGGGGATGTCAACGTTGGCTGGTGGTGGCTAGTCTGGATTTAGGAGGGAGTCGGGGGTGGTGGCTGGTCTGGGTTTAGGAGGGAGTCGGTGGTGGTGGCTGGTCTGGGTTTAGGTTGGAGTTGGTGGTGGTGGACTGATGGGTGCTTGGGTGGTTATTTAATTATTTTTATTTTTTTATCTCTTATCCTTAATCACATACCCTTTCATCCCATAATCACCATTATGAAATTTTCACTTGGGAACCGTGCCAAAGCTCAAAGTTCCAACTAAAACTTAACGGAGGTAGTAGTACAGGATCGCCATAGTACTTTATTTACTTATCTCTCCCCTTCCATTATATATTATAAGGGCTAAGCAACGATTGCTACATGTTTTCATGCCATTGAGCAGATTGGGCTGTTGAAAATAATGTAAACAGTGAAATTAGCAAGCTATGTTTGGGTAAAATTGTAAAAGTAATCTATGCCATGTTTTCCAGTTATGATGTTTCTGCAAATTGTTGCTCTACCTCTAACACAGGCTGCTACTCTCTGTATGAGCTGTATACCTGAATGATGATGTGAGGGTAGATATAATTTGGGGAAGATGTAAGGTTTACTTAGATCTAAATCATAGATCCAGGTTTTGGTTAGTCTGTGACTCTGTGTTGAATTAAAGCATAAGCGTGAGAATTTCTATTTTATATTTATTCTTTCAGTTAGCAGTTTTTGAACAGCCTTTATCTAGATGGGGCTTCCCTTGTACTTTCTTCACTGAGTGTTAGTTGATAAACACTGGTTTGTGTTTGCTACATAATGCTACAATCCCTTGCATTTTTAAGCTGAGAGACTTGAAGAAGGGGGCTTTTGAAATTGTGTCTCCTTTCTAAATTTATTCTTCTTCTGACTTTTCCCATTCCTTTGTTTGTTGACATCTATTTAACGAGCTATTATGTTTTGTGAAATGTAGATTGGAGCATTGGAAGAAACAAGAAAACGAGTTTTGCTGTCCGTGACTGGATTACAGAAATGCTACCGTGGTTACAAGACTCGTACTGAGTTTGTAGAATTGAAGACAAGAATTTCTTCATTGCAGTCATGTAGTATTCATATATGTGCCCCCCACCCCTCATTTTTTTAAAATTTGTGCCCCTTGACATTCAACATGTCTTTATTTTGAACATCTGCTCATTGAATCTTCTTGTGCAGTCATCCGTGGTGAAAATGCTAGAAAAAAGTATGATATTCTTTTAAAGAATCATAAAGCCCACTTGCAGAAGCACAAGAACATGCATAAGCATAAGCGTAGTGCATCAAAGGCTTTGGATGAGCAGCATAAAGCAATCATACAATTACAATCTGGTAAGTAGCAAGGTTCCACAATTTGGATTATTACTTAATCATTGCTATTTGGTATATTATTCTCATTTTTTTCCCTTGAAAATTATTTTTAATAGTGGTACGTGGTTGGTTGGCTCGGAAGCATTTTGATGATATGCTTGCTTTAGAAGACTACAGTGTCAAAGATGTAAAGAAAATGAAAGAGAAAGACATCAAAATTAGACAAGTGAAGGTACTGTTATTTATGCTTATGAGTTTAACGCAAGTAATGATTATTCTCAATTTGAATGTCATCTTTGCCCAGTTTGTGTAATGAAGATAAGGTGTATCATTGTATGTGGCACTTACAAATCTATGATTTTCCTAGTTAGGCCTCGTTTGGTTTGCTGTAAAACATTTGCAATGAAAAATTAGTTTTCATGGAAAACATATTTTCAATTGAAATCACATTTGCGAATTAATTTTCTGTTGTTTGGTTCCTTACATGGAAATGTGAGGATGGATGAGAGGTTAGTTTAAAGGAGGAGGAAAATGTGGCTTCCCTTAAGGAAGCTATTTTCCTCCATTGAAGATGCAATTTTTCACCATCGGGAAAATTGTTTTCCACCCTTTCACAAACCAGACAAAGGAAAATGGAAAAAAAAAAAATGGGTAAAATGATTTTACATCAAACCAAATGGGGCCTTAGAATCAGTTGATATCCTCTAACCTCTATGCTTGAAGGGTTAAAGCTATAAAATTTGGCTCCCATAGCTTTATTAAAGCTGGTGCCACTAAACTCTATAATCTTGTTAGTGCTAATTTCTTGAAGGATCTTCTACACTGTTGCGAATGGTTTGTGGTTTCCTTTTCGGACTTTCACTTTGTACATAGTTCATGTTAGTTATGTACACACCACTCATGGATCAGATCCCTTGCGTTTGTGTTTTCGAGATGGGAATGTAATGTTTTTTCTAATTGTAATTGTTGTCTGTGTATGCGTCAGTGGGTGAATAAATAGATGAAAAATGTAACAATAGCATAAGTGAGAAGACTGAGAACCACAACACTACTATATTGCCTTTGATAGGAAATTTTCTTGTGGATTACTTGTACTCCTGTCTTCAATGCCGTTGCTTACTGAATATTCACAGTCCTCCGATCCTTTTCGTTCTTCCCACCTTTGGTTTTTTTATTTTTTATATATTTTATTTTATTTTTATAATTTTATTTTCTCACAAAAAAGATTCTGATGGGAAGAACAAAAAGGGTCGGAAGGAGTAAATGAGAAGTAAATATCCAGTTAAGGCTTTACATAAATTGCAAATCGTCAACAGAGCTGTGTTTCTTGTTTAATTTTTGGCCTATCAAAAAGACAACTGTTCATTTGAAGGAAAGACAATGTAACCTTGTTGCCTGACCAGGATTTCTCACCTGCAAATGTTCAAGTTTCCAATAAAGTTGTGGAGGAGCTTCAAAGACGGATTGCAAGAGCCGAAGAAACTTTGGTTCAGAAGGAAGAGGAGAATGCTTCATTAAGAACACGGCTTCAGCAATATGAGATGAAATGGTCTGATTATGAGGCTAAAATGCGGTCAATGGAGGATATGTGGCAGAAGCAGATAGCGTCGTTGCAAGTAAGTTTAATGTGTTATTATAGAAATGCATTGATTTATATACATATACTATTCGTACTTACATGCATAATGTTCTCCCTACTTTAAATGAAAATATTGGGAACTTCTTACAATGCTGGTCACATAATTGGAATGTAATTTATAAGAGAATTGTCCCTTGGGTTTTTGAATTCTTCTGTGCTTAGACTACTGCATTGACAGATTGACCCAGATATGGGTTACGGCCTATAATAATTGTATCACCCTGGTATATAAGGCCTGGTTTTCTAGGACTTTTTTTTTCTTCCTAAATAACTATCTTTTTCTGGTCTCACAGAGAATCCATCTTGGCAAGTTCTGATTTGTGAAGTCTATTCTAAATAAGATCACGTCTTCTGGTTTGTTATAAACTTATAACTGTCTAGACGATATGGTGTAGGTCATGTATGTGGCTTAGTGGCCAATGATTGGGAGCATTTTTTGTATTAATTTGGTAATAATTACTGTTTTAAGAGACATAAATGCTTCTTTTTTCTTTTTGGGATGAAAACACAGGTGCTTACTTTAGCTATTCAATTTGGCTGTTTCATTGAATATTTTTTAAAAATTGAAGGTATCCCAAATGAAAAGCATGTAAAAAATTTACTAAAATCATGTTGATTTGTACTTCACCAGAAGTAGAGATCCAAGTTTATAGTTCAGAACCTGAGGTTTAAAAGAACTAAGCAATTCTAAAACCAGGACCCTTTTATTTAAAATTATTGCAGACGAGCCTTGCTGCAGCAAGAAAGAGTTTTACCCCAGAGGATGCTGCCGGTCAACCTGGAAGGCAAGAGGCTTCCCCATCTCCTTGCTCTTATGATTCAGATGATAATTTGTTCATGGGCCCTCGAACTCCTGGAGAAAGCACACCCACGAAATATTCAGTTCCCATTGCTGAAGCTCGAGAGGCAAATGGGGGTGGTGACCATGGTGTTAATCCAGTCAATCATTTAGCAAAGGAGTTTGAGCAACAAAGACAAGCTTTTGATGAAGATGCAAGAGCACTGTTTGATGTCAGGTCTGTGCAGCCTGCTCCAGGTATGAATTCCTTTGATGAACTTCGGAGATTGAAGACGAGATTTGAAGTATGGAAGAAAGACTACAAGGTTCGGTTAAAAGAGACAAAAGGGGCGCTGCACAAGCTTAGGCATGCTGATATGGAGAAGCATCGCCGGAAATGGTGGGGAAAGTTGAGTGGGAAAGCACACTGAACCATAGGAACATAGGATACAAATTCTGCAAAGTTTTCTTGGAAAAACTTCGCTCACCAACTTCCTGAGCGTTGAAGTTCTCTGGCATACTCTGCAAGTTTACCTTGCATGTAGGAATAGTTAGGGAGAGAAATTTGTGTTGTATGTCTACCAATTTTTGTTGCTTGGTGGAGTAACCGACAATCTTAGGGTGTATCTCAGCCTAAAACTGAAAATTACCGTCCAAAAGATGTGGCGATATTCAATGTGTATATATGTGCTGTTGTTAGTGATGTATTCTTTACTAAATAGCAAATGTAGGATAAAAAATTGGGGTTAGATAGGCTTATGCTGTATGTGTGTAAAGTTGTAGCCATCAATTAGTTTGTTGAACTTTGTATCTTTTTATCTTTTAGTGTAATACATCTTATTTTCATCTCTTCTTTGTCGAAATTGTATTATTCTATGAATTCTTCAAAGATTGAAAGGCAGTGTACTTTTATAAAGTCTTGAATTCCTCCAAGTTGGCTGTGTGCTATTGCCTAATATGTAGTTGTCAAATGTGCTGCAGGAAAATACCCTCAGGAGTGGTTTACAGGGGCTCGCAAGGTAAGAATCTGCGACCATTTCTGTTCTTTGTAAATATGTAACATTTTTGTCATTTTGGTAACGACTTACGAATATAATTAAGATAAACATAGAAAGGTGTGAAGTTTAATAACAAACTAAAAATAGAAAGTGGCCTATTATTTTCGGCTAGCTCAGATAGACGTGTGACCTATTATTTGGAGTGGAGAAGGTACAAGAAAGTGTACTCAATTAATGAAGTCATCTTAGGTAATAGAAGGATTGGCATTCTTCTTAGCACTTAAATTTGTTTCAGTGTTTAAACTCTAGATTGAACATAAATAAACCCCATATGTGCACTAAAGATTGTTCTTATGTTAAGACATTTGAGCTCTTCTTAACACCATATATCTAACGATCATATACAAACTAACTTATGATCCGGGGACAAACTTGGTGGCATATACCCAGGCATTGTTTGCCACAGGGTTGTCAAGGTGATCCAAAAGGTTCTCCAAGGGACCTTTTCCGGTGACAATGGCCTGCACAAAGAATCCAAACATGGAGAACATAGCTAGCCTTCCATTCTTGATCTCCTTCACCTTCAGCTCGGCAAAGGTAACCGGGTCATCAGCTAGGCCCAATGGATCAAAATATTGGCCACCTGGGTATAGGTCATTGCCCTCCCCAACTCCGTCTAGCCCATTAATGCGGAACCCTTCAACAAGACCCATAAGGAGTACTTGGAACCCGAGCACGGCTAGAATGCTTTGAGCATGGACTAGGTTTGGGTTGCCCAAGTAGTCAAGCCCACCTTCAGAGAAAATTTGGGCACCAGCCTTGAACCAAACTGGCTCCTTGAAGTCCACTTTAACCCATTTCTCTAGGACTTCAGGGGTAATGCAGCCTAGTGCTCCAAGCATAGCCCAACGTCCGTGGATGACCTGAACAAACATAAGTAGCATAGTGGTTAGTTACCCTAGTAGACTAGTAGTCCATGTTATAAAAGATGAGTTTCTGACAAATTTTCCTTTACTATATTTACGTATTTACTGTTCATAGAAGGCAATTTGATCAAATGAATTCAGATTCTGATCTAAGTTTCCAGTGTGACCGTAAAATAATACTGTATAGCCGATATAACCAAGTTTATACTCCGTATCTGACTATCTGTAATATGTGAAATTATAAAAATCTGATATCATGATGAGTAACCTAAAAATGAAATCTACAAATTACATCGAGATAAGTCTCGAAAATTTACAGTAAATAATTTGAACTTGATTCTTTTGAATTAACTTACTAGGTACAATAGATACTAGTACATATAGACATATAGTAGATAAATTGGAGCATGAAAAAGAAAAATGCAAAACAAAGTTAAAAACATGATAATTGAACAACAAAAAGTAAAGAAAAGAACCTCAAGAGCCCTGTTTCGGGCAAAAGCCTCAGGATCAGCAGAGAGACCAGCAGTGTCCCAACCATAATCACCAGGAAACTCTCCAGTTAAGTAAGAAGGTGTTTGTGCTGAAAATGGTCCCAAGTATTTTACTCTGTCTGGTCCATACCAAAGTTCATTTCCCTAACATCATCATCATCATGCATAAATATACCAAGTTAATTACTTCCCTTGTTCAAATCAAACACACTCGTAACAACAAACAGGTGTATTGTATACAACACGTAAGTACGTACCATGGTAAATTTGCCGGTTCCCATAGGAACGACATCTCTAAGCGCGTTACCGTTGGATCCTTTGCCTTGCCCTAGGAATGGGGTTGGTCTAAGGACAGTGCCGGAGCTTAGCATTGATGCCATAGATGAATTCTTGTGTATTAATAAATTTTTTTTTTTTTTTGGTTGCTACTAATTTATTTGGGATGTAGAAAGGGCTAGAATCAAGTCATATATATGAACATATTATGTGTTGAGGAAGTGAGTTACAAGTTTTTGTGGACATAAATGAAGAAGTGGCAATTTTTGGTGGGACAATAAGGGGTTGTATTAGCCAATGAGGTGGCTTCAGAAGATATTATAATCTCACCAACATATCCTCATATCCAGTTTTTATAATCCTCATATCTATGTGTCAATTTGGATTATTTGGTTTTACTACATTGTACAACTATGACATTTTTATGAATTTTAATAATATTAAAGATGAATTCTATGAAGTCTTATTTCTTCCATTATTTGTTATTAGTTGACATGTTATTTCTATCATTGTTGCCAATGGAAACATTTGATTGTAATCATTAAAAATAATAAAGTTGATATTTTAAAATCTATCATGTGAGAATTCTAATAAGATTTCAAAAAAATATATTAAAAGATTGAAAAATCTAGTTAAAATAGATTTTGTAGAAGTGGCAAAAGTAAGTAAAAATAAATAAAATTGTGTCAACTAAAAGAAAGTTTTATTTTGCATCCTTTTTTGTTTCAATAAAATACTAATAATGTAGGTGACTTTTTTTTTTTTTTTTTTTAATTATTATTTATTTTTTATTCGTTACATCTCAAAATAACAGTCCACTTTACTTGTCCATATCACCCTTGATGATATTCTTATAAAAAGACTACATTTTGGCAAGATAAATATATTCTTTCATTAAGATAATACTTAGATAATCATGATATTTCAACTCAATATGTAAATGAAATTCAATAATAAAAAAAAAAGATTACATATTATTTAGGAGTAAAGGGAGTAAAATTTTGTAAGATCAAAGCTAACCCCGAGAACAGAATCATAACTTCACGATAAACGAGCATGCAACGTGATTGACAAAAGATGCATGTTGAGACTTGAGAAGTTACATAAGTTAAAGAACTGATATAATATGGGGTGATCATTTGCAAGTTTGAATTGGACACAAACAAACTAAAACCTTTATTATGCATTTAGATGTACCTATAACTAAGTAACTTATAACACGGTGTTCATTTGATTATTTTTGCTCACTTGAAGAATTCAAAGTAAGAACAAAATAAAATAAAAATCTTGGGTGCACTAATGCACTTTATACTAGTAGCACCTTGCATGTAAGAATTTTTCACATATAGACCAAGTCTTTATTTCTGTTCAGCAGGCTTAATTAGCACAACTCTGGCCATTACTTGCAGGCCTAAAAGATTGTAAAATGTTGGGCTGCCTGGTAATGGGCTGCAAAGAACTCTTTTTTATTTATTTATTTATTTATTTATTTTTTTTTTTTTTGTAAGGGAACATTTCAAAAGTATTAACTAGTCAAACTGTATACTTTACAAGTAAGAAATAAATTGAAGGGAGGGGTACCTAATAGGTTATTTTAGTCCTTGGGCAAAACAGTTTAATTTAACGAGAAAATACAAGTTTATATATGTTTATCTAAAGATATAATTGACAATTCACGCATTTACTTATGGGTAATTTTGTAATTGTAACTACAAAATAAGTTAACAGTGTTAAAACTTGTGAAAGTGTGTTAATGGAGGATCTTGAATTTGAAGAACATCAATAAACATTTTAGAAGCTTCAATGGAGAAATTCTAAGCTCAAAGGCAACTTTAATAGAAAAACACGTCACCCGTACTTGTTTCAGAGTTTTTCGGGGGGGGGGGGGGGAGGGGGGACATGCCAGGGGGAAGGGGAGGGGAGGCTGGGTGGTGGGGTCTTCACAGTGTTCGGAGAAAGAGGGAAAGAGAAGTGAAGAGGTGATTGTATGGTGGTCGTATGGTGTTAATTTTTTTTTTTTTTTTTTTTAAGGTTGATTCCTTTTCTTGTTTTATACAAACAACATTGTAAATCAAAGAGAGTTACATTCTATATATTCTTCTTCTTTCCCTTTCTTTAAGTCATTCCCTTTCCTTTAGAAGAACCAAATGACTCTTCAAGAAATATATGTTCATATAAGATTTAATAAGGGTTATCCAAATTCAAATTACAACAAAAACAAGTACTAATAAGTTTAATAAGTTTAGGTAAATTTAGATTAGATAAGTTTCATTTATCAAGTGAATATAATTATGTTGAAATTATTATTGATAAAGGGATTCAACCTTGATACCTCGATCAATTCTCAAGAAATCATGCGAACGAATTGGGATCTCACTTACAGAAACCAAGGAAAAAACTTTCAAACAAACCATGAACATGAAGGCCTACGCCTCTAACTTCAACCTTTCAAAAAGTTGTAGCAATATAAGTATTCATATGTCTACTAAACAATTCATTCTCAACCTAATTCATTTCATATGTCATGCATGAATTGTGGTCCAAATATAACTATTGACATGAATTTCTGCATAATTAAATTATACGAATAATTAGATCACTAAATGTACTCAATGACATAACTGGTCACTAAAGACACTCTAACATATTCACTACTACATTTTTGATCTATTGCAACCCCCATATCCGTTGCATTAGGCGTCAAAATCCATGGCATTAGGCCTAATGCAACGACCATGTACCGTGGCATCTGCTGACATTGCAGTAGGTCTAATGCAACGGCTTATGACACCTAATGCCACGACACCACTGATCCGTGGCAATAGACCAATACCTGTTGCAACGGCATAACTTATCCGTGGCAATAGAGTACTGACTAATAATTATGATGAAATTGAACCTATTGCAACGGATGAAGCTAATTAATACAATGATAGGAGTACGTATCTACTGCAACGGATTGATCTTTCTTTTTTTTTTTTTTTTTTTTTTTGTTGTTGGGATGGAATGGTAATATAATATATGTATAATTAGTCAGTACAAATCTAAATATACTAACAGAAACAAAATAAAGTATCATTTATATATAATAATTATAATGCGAAATACGTACATTACAAAATATTACTCGCTTGTTTTTGGTATGACATACCCTACTAATAAAAAATAAAAGTTATATAAAGCATTTAATCGTCCAAAATACAAATTGTCAACATATATAAGTTGTCAATATATATATATATATATATATATATATATAAGCCGAAATTTCCAAATCTTCACTAAGCCGGAACTTGAATAAGAGTCGCCAACATATATGCACCATTTGTTAGATGACTAGTCACTATTCTTCCGCTGCATTTAACTCCTCATGCACCTACAGGTAAAATTGAAAAAAAATAATAGAAATATAATTAAACTAAATTATAAATTATAATAGACCAAGGCCACAATCAACATGAGAAAAGTTCAAAACGCACAGATGATGGTTGTTTAAAAGATGGCAGCAAAGATATTTTTTTTTTTTTTTTTTTTTTTTTTTTTTTTAATACACAGAAAGGAAAATATTATTAATTTATAGTGGCAGTAGCCACATTACCAAAATATAAACATTCCAAGTCTGAAAAACAAAATAGCACCCCAGAATATAACAAAGTACTAGCTAAATAACCAACAAGAAATAGAACTTAGTAGTAGACAAAAGTATTCTGGGTGATTGCTGACAGACAAAAGACATGATCAAAAGCACCAGATTCATGCACTGTAGGTGAACTAAGTTGCCACCATTTCTGGGATGTCATTAGCAGTCAAGGTGTTCTCAAAGACAGAGGCCCCTAAGCAATTTAGTACTGAGGTTCGTAATTAGGCAACATTTTTTTATCAGATCACTCAGTATATTAAAATTTGTTGTGTAACTCTATATATAGGACTGGATTACTTGCATCATGGTTGCAGCCCGCCTATAGTTCATAGAGATGTGAAACCCGCTAACATTCTTCTAAACAAAGAATTTCGAGCAAAGGTAGCTGATTTTGGGTGGTAGAAAGGGGTTTTTGGTGCTTCTTACTTGGTTGGATAGGTATTTGTAGGGAGTTTCAGTTTGGAAGATACTTTTAGGATTAGCATGAGACTAATTAACTTTATGTAATTATGAATTATGTTTCTTACTATGAGAAATGATATATTGTGTAGTTACATTCTTGAAGCATTGTAGTCCTATATATACTTAAAACTGCATTTACATATTTGGTGGAAATGAATTATATTGCTGAATTGGTATCTTGATGCTGAAATCAATTGTGAAATTTATGTGACCAACTTGAGCTTGTGGCTTAAAGCTTGGGTGGCTTTGTATATATGATGAGTGGGCTTTGTAGTTCATGTCTACTATTGAGAAAAAAATTATGTGTACACTTTTCAATTCAAGTTTTCTAACTTTCTTGGTCATGAAACTATGTTTCAAATTTACAAACAAGGGTTGTTGGAACACTAGGCTATCTTGATCCTCAGTAAGTGAGCCATTTCAGTCATTCATACATGACTATCTTACATATTCTAACACTCTTTTACCAAAGTAATACATTGCACACTACTAATTGAAGTGGGCTAAAACTTTTATGCCACAATGATTATTACAGGTATAATTAATTAACAGGACAGGTGCATGAAAAAGGCGATGTTTACAGCTTTGGGGTTGTTTTGTTGGAGCTAATCACAGAGAAAACAACAATAGTAAACAATCATGAACTTGGGTCAATGGGTTAGGAGCGTGCTTGAAAGAGGGGATATAGCCAGCATACTAGACCAAAACTAGCAGTAGAAGAACTATCTCACTGTGTGGAAAGCAGTAGAACTAGCAGTGAGATGTATTCAGCTAGAAATTGCAGATAGGCCAACAATGACTCAAATAGTGACAGAACTCAAAGAGTGTTTGGATATGATGAACACAGAAAGTTCTAGTTCAGCTAAAGACTCTCTAGAGTAGTATGATGAACACAGAAAGTACGAGTAGTAACTCAAGAATCTAACTCAAGAATCATGTCCTTATTGATTGTTAATTTAGAGATGCAGCAGGCTATAAAAAGCATGAACTCAGCAAAAAAAAAAAACATACAACAATAAAAAGCAGTAGCAAACAACTAAATCATCAACCATATAAAGAAAAAAAGAAGCAATAAAGCAATAGTGGGCATCAGAAAA